ATTTTATTTTGAAGAGTGTAAAATAGATAGCAGACATAATTTACAGCATTAGGAGGATGGTTACAAAACTAAATATCTAATTTAAAAAGCATAGTGAGCTTAAAATTTTAATATCAATTATATTTCTATTTAATAACTTTAAATTAAGAATTACACAAATTTTATATAAATACTAATCAAATCTATATAAGATATTTACGATATTAAAAAAATAAAAAAGAGAAAGAAATAAAATCAATATAATTGATACCGAGTATCACGAAAGAAAATCTTTCCTACTTTCTAAAATAAAGCAAGTAAAATTTAAAATAAAGGACACAACAAATCTCCGTATGCTGTTTAACACAATGTGTTGACTATATTAACGTCACAAAGGAAATATGTATAATTAAAGACGGCTTTTATATATAGCATTAGTAAATTAATAAGCAAGCTGCATTTTAAATTAATATCTCATAAAATTAATCTATAACTTACCGAATTATTTTGAGAGATAGTGTCCACCTGCTGCATCTTGGCTTCGTTTCTGCAACAGAAAAATACAAATGTGTAAATAAGTTTTAAAAACAAGGATTTAAAAAATGAATTAAAATATTCAATATTAAATTTTATATCGCATTGTGGGTTTATAATATCATGATCTTTAAAACTCATTTGCATATAACCTATTTTACTTATTCATTGTAACATAAAGTCACGAAATACCACAGTTTCCAATATTTTTCAATAACCACTTTTATTGCCTTCTCTCGAAATTACAGAATTCACTATACGAGAGATGTCAAACTCCAACTGATACAATCATACTTCGCATTTCACAAAATAATTAGATGTATTTTATAATATAAGGCTCATCAAGTCCACGGTAATGAGCTTCACCTACCTTTCCGACATATACTGTACATAAATGTTATGCAGCAGGTAACTGCCTTTCGTTGATGCTTGAGGCTATGAGGCTTCATCAACAATTGAGATGGCAAGGATATATTCTGAATTGAGCATGGTAGCTTACTAATTGCTTGCCAAGATGATTGCGCTGCAACCAGGGAGATTGGTGCCGTGGAGGCATAACACTACTCAAGCCTACCAAATGGTAGTACTTTGAATGTCAGCCCTGTACACTGCTGTGAGACTCCGTACCTCCAGCCAAGACTCGCGACATTAGCAACATCTGGATAACATAACAACAGGACCCCGTATTGTAACAACCCCAAATTGTTTTATCGCTTTAGAGCAAGTTAAACATTGATTTATTTTCAAGTTATCTGTGTATATGTACGTATATATACACATTGCTATGAATTATTTAACATATCATGCAAAACTGTATGTATGAGATACATGCTTGATTTGTAATCTCTCCTTCATTTTATTATGCATAAACTAACAATATCTATCAGTCGCTATAACAAAACACGTTCAAATTGCTCTTTTAAACCTTTCCTAACTATGAAGTTATTACAAACTTATTTTTGTAACTGAAAACTACAATTTATGAAACAGCAATAAGACAGAATGCATGTATCAAAGTGAACAATGCTTATTAATATCCAGATACTTATAAAAGTTCTTTGAGTACAAAAAAAGAATTATCTCCTTGCATTAATCATAAAGAACAGTAAAAACATGACTTAAAAAATGTGATTAAATTGTGCTGTAAATCTGCTCTTATGTATCTCATTATAAATATATATCATACATATAGATAGTATGATAATTTACAACCTTCTATCTATTATCATAATTCTTTGTAATAAATGTAAAGTGTAAATGAATTGACAAAAGAACAAAGTTTCATATAATGAAGTTACAAAAAAATATCAAGAAGATGTATGTAAATAACACATATAATGCAAAAATTTTAAGAAAGAGAGTGAATCGATCAGGAACATGGTGTCCAAAGTGTAATACTTCTGACACATGGTGATAATCTGCAAATGTATACAAGAGTCAACGTGCATACCCTATTGTTCAAAACCAGTGTAAGCCAAAATGGAAAGTTTGATAAAAGTAGCACAAATAACTGGTACACTGGTATAGAAAGTGAGCTGACTATTAAAATACAAAATTGACAATGCATAGGAAAAAAAACGATGTTGTGAACGACCATAAGATCTCGACCATGGGAAGCAAGAGCTTCTGCCGTGGCGAAGAGGAACATTGCCAGAACAATCCATGCCGCGAAGACGTTCTATTCGTACAGTATCAAGGGCAGAGATAAGAGAATTCGCGGGTCGAACAAAGTACTTGGTGGTTGAAAGTTGTTAAAAGTAAGAAAGGAGATAGGTAAGAACCGCGAGAGACGATGGCAGAAAAATAAACGCGGTAGATGCAGGAGTGGAAAGAGGAGGAGGACAAGTAGGAGAGGATGTCGAGGGGAAGGGTAGCAGACCCGCGCCCAGCCGATGCACCCAGCCGACGCACAACAAACACGAGCAAGCCGCCGTGTGAGAATCTAGCCGAGCGCTCGACTGGCGCAGAAATCGCAATGTTTCTCACACTGGAGAGTTGTGGCGCGCGCGAAATAGCCGAGGCGCCTTTTTGGTCACTCGATTTGGCGTAGGTTTCAACATGGCGGTATGGCCGCTCAAGAAAGAAAGCTCTCAAGGGCCCGCCGCTACAGCCGCCACTTACGCACCACCACGACACACACCACGCGCTATACTTATCATCAACGGAGCCAGAAACTTCAGAATTACTTGCAATCACTTACCTGATCAATAGAAGTCCACTTTTCACAGGAATTCTATCGAAAAACACTACCACTACGTCTTGGACACTCGCACTACGCTTTCTCGCTGCTTGCTAGTTTGGTTGATCGGTGTTATGGCCGTCGCCGAATGTGCCCCACCGTATCACTCACTCACTCTCACTCGTGCGAGCGCGAGCGCTCGGTTCGCATACACGACGAACGCGGACGCGGCCCGATCAACTAGTTCCACACTTACGAATGCAGACGTTGATCTCTCGTACTAATATCGTATCAGTGCCTCGTACTGGGCTCCACCGACATTTTCCTCGAGTCTCGTACAATCGGATGGGTTTCCGTGCCCATGACGATCTCGGATCTACAAACTAACGATCGCAGCACCAACAATGGCTACGCATTCTTCCGCGACGTACTGAATGGTCCTGTTCCGTTGTTCCTCGAACACGACCTGTCTATCCATTCCTCTTGCTGTTCTACCATTCCGAATTTTGTCGAATTAACTCGAACAACAGCGCGCCAATTTCAAAAAATCGTTAATAAACGTTTGAAAATTATATTCATTTTGAGTTCTACTTAAGAAATCCTAGTGTTTAACGGCTACATTAACAATTAATTTGTTGCAATTGCGTACTTTGATAATTTATCATCATCGAAATTCGCCTGTATCGTCGTAAATCAATTTCAAAATAACCGAGTACCAATTTCAATTCAAAATAAATTCCATTTTCGCTACTTCATTACAATATTTTATAGTAAGGAGATAGACTAGGATTATACAGGGTACAGGTACGTAATAATTAAACAATTTTAAATTTAGACTGAATTTTATTATATATTTATTAAAATATAATAAATATATTTATTATATATCCAAAAATTAATGGTTAATTTCCATCGTTCCATGTTCACCCATAATGCATTTTTATGTAAGTTGAAATAACAATTTATAAATTTATAAACATTAATAAGTAAGAGCAACAGAAAACAAAATAAATTTTAATACTATCTGCAACTGGTAATTTTCTTATTTGAAATATAATATTAAAATTTATTAATCACCGCGCAAGTCGTGGTTCAATTCCACGATTCTATAGTTATTGCAATGCATTTTGGGATACGTGCAAAATCTATAACTATATTTCACTTTTAACACTTTTAAATAATTAAAATAAAATTAAGAATAATATAATAATTAAAAATTTCATTAACACGTAATGATTTTTACACGCAATTCAAATGATATTTTGTCATGACGTGTCACTACACAAAGTTCCGTTACACATCGAGGCATGTGAGACAATTGTCTCTTGATTTGTCATATATTTTAAACGAAATACAAATTTAACTTATAGGAAACAGAATCTTTGATGTAGAGCTAATAACGCACTTGAATAAATAATCTATTAAACTTCTATAATATTATCAATGTCAAAGTAAATAACATATCGATAGTCTAGAAATTCGTGATATTGACTACGGTAGTCAATTGGACAATTATGAAATTTATCACATATCACAAATTACATCGTTAAAGAGACACTGAATAAAAAAGAATTTCACAATAATTTGGATTGGTATTTATAAAAATTTTCTATTATGTATGTACATTGACACAACCATGGCACTAAATCACAAAATGGCGTCTCTTGGACGAATACTATCACTAGCAATTTACATTATTAAAACTTGTCACTTTGAACAAAGATATTGAATCACAGAAACGACAGACCTTAAGATTTAAGAAATAACATACCACGGTCTTAAAAATGTAAATTATATGAAGATAAAGAAGTGTTCTAAATACTTAAGATTAACGACCATTTTAGCTTTTATGACGTAATGAAATACGAAAGTCAAAAAAGAAACTAAATATTTACGACTCGATGTTAGTGCACACTTCCGGTGTTTCGACCGTCATTAACTAACGTTCTAATCGGCGATTGGTGTGCTTTTGCAGAGTCTTTGAAATGAACCAATCGTTTGAAAACCAATATTGATGAGTCATTTTGTTTAGGATTTTCCATCGAGCATTATGCAATGCTATACGACATATGCCTTTCTACATTTAGTAAATAAATGTTTCAATAGAAACGCGTTTGATGTTGTAAGATATAGAAAAATTGAATACATATAATACAATTTGTATGAAAGTACATCTTTATTTACATTTACATGCAATTCTCTTTTCGTTTGGTTTTCGTTTCATTTAGTATTTTGTAATTATACAAAAATTACTCATATGCAAACAATACAAAAATAACGAATTTCAGGATTAAATAAAACTAACATATATATACATTAATGTGTATTAACTTGAAATTACACTATTCCCCAAATTTCTTCGAATGCAGAGCATAATTTGGTACATGTTAAAGCACCAGATAATGGATAATTGCTTATAGATATTACATCTTCTACATAATCTGGCTTTACCTATAATTTCAGTTATTAATAAGAGTAATATAACCAAATAAGATAATGTAGAACAATGTAATCTATTTAACAAAAAACTTACTTGTCCATGTGCCATTGCACCTACTGTGATGGCTATTGGTTCACCAGGAGGAACTAATTCTCGTGGATTTTGTACTTTATTTGCACTAAATGACATTGCAATTTTATGACATCCAATTGGCAGATGATCAGTAACTGGATTTTTAATTACTTTCAATAGTTTCATTGAACCATTACTGGCACGAACACTAAATTTATGTAATAATTGTACTGCAAAATGCAAAACAAGTTAATAGAAAATATATTTGCAAGTAAAGTGCAATGAATATATTATTCATGTTTTCTTTTAATGTCGTTTTATGATTAAAGATCATATTAATATAATATGTTAACAGTGGAAAAAATCTGTTAAATTTAAAGATGTAAGTTTTTTTTAAAAAGTCTATATATTAATACGGTTTTTTAAACCTAAAATTACAACTATATAGAAGAGTAAAGTTTTAATTAAATTGATAGATAACTTTGATTTGACATGGTGATGATTAATAATAAATTGTTCCCCAGATGATGTGATTTGTTATGTTCTTTTTCATCTAGGCATTCTAGCTTTTTGAGATATTAATTATTTATGATTACCCATAAGACCAGCAAAACGTTTAAATGTTCTTGGTATCCTGGTTTGTGGATTTACTTCTATCAATACATTCTTTTCTGTATGGATGTAAACTTGTAAAAGTCCAGCTCGATTTAGGGGACTATCCATCAACATCAATAAACATTGATGAGCAATATCTGGTCTACAGGTACCAGGATCACGATTATTCTTTTTCAATATGTTAAAGTGATCATCACAATTCAATAACTCAAAACTGTTTCCAACCTAAAAAAATTTCAACACAATTTATCATTATGAAGATATATAGTACAATCATTACACTGTTTATAATATTAAATCGATTTATTAATGATTTTTATGTGTATATGTATAGATACATATAAGATTATATACGCGCACGTGTACGTATCATATACAGAACAATTGCATATATATATATATATATATATACACACATAAAATATCTATTCTAATTACTATTTAATAATAAAATCTATTATTAATTAATAAATAAAATAATCGGTACACGATCATGGAGACAAATATAATCTTACCTTAACTGATTCTAACTGAGCTTTCTCCAAAATAATAATTAAACGCTTGTCTTGGTTTTTAATATGAGCAACGTGAAGATGTTTAGGCGCTGGATCATATTCAAAGTCGTCCTTTCCATTCCGATTTTTGCGTTTTTGACTCATCTTTATTATATTTACTGAAAGTACAAATTTTAACACAATGAAAATATGTTTAACATTCAGTGTATGTGAACAACAACTAGAATTATCATTTTACCAAGAATAACAGAGATGCTGCCATATTGCAACAAGAGAAACTATACATCGTTTTAACCGTTTACAACTGATGGCAGCACACATCCTGTATGGATGGTACTGCCCTCTAAGCATTTCTAATTTCAATTTGAATTGGAAGAGTTAAATTAGAAAAAATTCGATAGATAGCAGCACTCATCTCGTTCATAGATAAAGAGCGCAGTAGCATATGACAAAGATAGTTACACGCTATGTACGTCCATCGATAGACATATCTTTAATAAATTCAATTTTTATTGGCAAGAGAACTAATCAAGAGATTCAATTAATCTGTGAATCTTCATTATTACATCGTACGAGTTACATTGTAAAGGTACACTCAGCTTTTTCATCATATTTGTGAAGTTTTCCTCAACCAATCGAAGCATTCGAACAATATTTAATATTTTTGTTAACAATTTCTAGTTAGAGCTTCCAACTTAATTTACAATTCATTTAAAAACATATCTTCTGTACGCGATGGAAGATAGAAATAAATTTAAGGAAAAGTAATAAATAGTTAATGATGAATCAATTTATTAGATAGTGCCTATCATTATATTCGACGTATAACACTGCTATATAAATGATTGCTAGCGTCAAAACAGAAAGACAACATATTCGCAGAGCAAACTTACTAACGAGAAAATTCATCTCTTAAAGGTAAATCCTTTTCGACGACTTTTAATATCGACCAATTGTTGTGCCTGTTTCTTAAGAGTGTTTCTAGTTGGTACATCCTCTTCGTCTTCAGAAGGCATTGTGGCCTGTGTTGCTGATGATGGAAATCGCGGGAAAAGTGGCCCTCCGTTTGTGCGCGCTGCCTTTCCCTCCACTGAGGTAGTCGTAATCGATACTGTTTCCAACTAAATAACGATTCTTTACAATAAAATACTGTTTGTCACGAGTGGTAAATACTATACGAAATAGTCGAGATCTTCTGGGACGTGCATTGTAAGGAATGATGCGTTTGAAATTTACCTTGTCAACCGATATTTCGTCCAGTACTTCCAGATACTTGTCTGGCCCTCCTAAAGTTTCAATGATACTCGTCGCTCTTTCGTTCATTAAATCTATAAGTTGCAAAGGCTGTTGGATTTCTTTTGGATCTTTAGGTAACGTATCCACTACATCCTGAAAATGAGATATGGGAAAAATATTTCCTCAAATTGTGCCTGTCATCGTCTAAAACTGTCCAAAGCAAAAAAGTAGACGGGCAACATATAAAAAGTTGTCACTTTGTTTGAGAGACGATTAACTTTCAAAATCCTTTAAACGAAACGTTGAATTTCAAGAGAAGATTGTTTTTCTAACATTTGAAATTCTTTTCTCTTTTCGAGGTTCCGGATTTCCCTTCACTCTCAATATTTATACACGCTCAGCAGTGTTGCCGAGGGGGGGAAAAAAAATCGTAGGAGTTAACGACTAAGGGCAATACGTTCCTTGAGATCGATTGAATCAATAATTGATTTTCTCGTGGTTCGACGTGCTACCGAAGTATTTACTTTCGATTAGGTCCGAAGGTGTTAATCACTTGCAGACTTAGGACAGCGGCTTCTTAAGGTGAGAATTACAGGCAGGGATTGTTCACGGAAATTCATTGGTCAACGACTAGTATGTCCGGGGGTGTTAAATCTTCGGAGAGACAATATAATGGCTATGAAAACTCGAAGCGGTTCCATTGCGGTAACCACCATTGAGTGGTGGCTTCACTAATTTAATTATTGAAGATATAAATATACATGGTATTTCCATTTTAACATGTCTGCTTACAGAATGTTCGATTCCGTCGATGTGCTAACTCATCGAGATACCTTTTCCGTTTAACCAACAGAGATACGTTAATTGAAAATCTTTCTTTACAACGAAAGCGAAAGGTGATTAATTATTGGCAACGCAAATGCAAAAGCAATACCCTTTTCTTGCTGAGCTGCACTTTCCTCGTTTTAACTTTTAACCAGAGTCGTAAGTTACACACCGAAATCGATCATTCTAGTCCCTAATAAGAATAATTATCCATTTTAAAAATCCACTTTAAAACAAATCATTCCGAAGCAAAAATTTTTAGAGATTAAATCTGTATGTATTTATCAAATTTTTCTTATAAAAATAAGTGAACGAACTTAAGGAATTACCTACCCGAAATTTGTTGCACACATTCCACAGTGTCGTGGTAATTTCCTGCAAAAGTTCTTCCACCTTTTGTCTCTTCGTATCTGCTTTCAATTGGCGCGATCGATGTCGTTCGATAAGCTGGTTTAGTTTCTCCGTTTCTTCCGCGTTTCTAACATACGTGATCTCTGATCGATAGGACGCACAGGATACCCTTGGCGAATATATAAAAGGAGATGGAAACTCACTGTTCCGCGTCCTTCGTTTCCGAGAACTTTCTGGTCTCCATCTCGTCGATCAGCTGCAGCCTCTGCTTTTCTAACGCCATTTTCTCTTGCTCCGTGGCCACCCGCATTTTCTGCAGATTATCCTTAGTCGCTCGCTGACCCAGAAACCGGTTCAGAACGTCCTCGGACCTGGACACTCCGGTGGCACTGCGAAGCTTGGCGAACGTTTCTTCCAGTCGTGTCACCTCGTCGTTGCTAATGTCCTCCGTGACTTGTACGTGACCCTTTCCACGTGTGTCAAAATCGTCTCTCGGACGCGATTGGAATATCATTTTCTCCAAACGCTCCAGTTCCATTTTTCTCTCTAACACGCGTTGCCTGGTTGCAGTTCAGAGATTTCAGTTTAATTTTACTCCACAGCTCAAGCAGATTTGGTGTAGAACGTTCGTTGATTCGTACCTATACTCTTCGAGAACCGCATAGCGTTCCCTACTGCAGTTCGTAACTTCAATTTCTTCTTTTATCAACGTTTCCTGCATATGATCTTTCAACGCAATAGCTTCTTCTTTCACGCTCTATGCACAAACAATGCGTAATTAGATTCAGTTCGTGCGAAACATCAATTTGACAATTAAAATCACGACTTGCCTGAAGACGTTTTATCTCGCTCTCCTGCTCCTTTATTTCGTCTTCCAGATTTTTTAACGAAGATACGTAGAGCACAGATCTTTGTTTCAAATCGGAGCACATCGATCGGTATTTCATTCGCGCTATGTTCGCTTTGATCTGCATCATCCTGATGTGTTCCAAAAGTACTTCCAGTTTAACAATTTTCTGTGAGAACAGAAACGAGAGAACGGATATATATGCGCGAACATCTGTAACAATGTTTATCTCATTGTTCTAACTCACGTTTCGCGATGGATTCTCCGTCTTCCTCTTAAATATCTTCTGCATCTTATTGTTCATTAATTTACCATATTCATCCAGCAACGAGTGTAGTTTCTGCTGTCGCTAAGAAATATTTACGCTTGCATGGACGTAACGTACATTCGCGCGAGATAATGTTTATGAGATCGATATCGCGTCGCTCACCTTCTTACGCTGGTACTTAATTAGATCATGCTTCTTTCTTAAGCGTACATTGTCCTCTTGCATTTTGTTGATCGCCTCTCCTAAATTGCGTTTTTTCTCACGAGCCGAAGATTTGCGGCTCATGCGAATTTTACTCTCCGACTTCCCCTCATTCTGAAATGTGAGACATTTCTTACTCGATCAACCTTCTTTTTCTGATCGTCGTATTTCATAATTACGTTCTGCACGTTCGCGTATTCCATGTAGAGTTCCTTGATGCTCTGCTTGAGAGCCGCGATTTTCTTCGCGTACTCGTGCTTCTTGGCTTCGTATTCCTCGAAATTCGCTTTTCTTTGTCCTTCTGCGAACATAAGTCATGTGCTTGTTAGCAACACATGTTGTTTTGAATCAGGATGAAACTTTGTTTGTTAATATGGTTTGAATAACTCTTTACTTCGATGCAAATACGTTTGCAATGAATTATTCCTTGCAAAATAAATTCTTACGCTTTCTATATTTTTTACGGAATTTATTTATTTTTTTTTTAAATAGGTTCAGAGACAACGGAACAATAATTAAGCTGTGAAACGAGACAAAACCGTTTCTATAATAATAGCCGAAGGATAGAACAAACGCAAGTCGTGACCAAACTGATACTGATGATGGATCGAGCTACGATGCATGAACATAGTTTAAACAAACTAAATTGCCCAAATTACTTAAATCACGATGTCACGATTTTCTTCAAACGAGACTTTATTTAAGGAAAATATCAAATTATTTACTATCATTTTAAGCGACTGCTGGGAAGAATGTATGGAGACAATAATCGTGGTAATTCTTGAATCATGAAAATGATAATGACAGGATGACAACTTATTTACCTTACCTAGGTAATGCTTCTATTAAGCAATTTAACTATTATCAATATGATAACTATTTATCAATACGATTTGACATCTCAAAAATTTGCATTTTCTATATTTTAATTTCTACGATATTAACGATTTCGTTCGCAATGTCTAAAAAATTATTTACCATTCGAAATTATATATTTAATATTCAGTATGAATATTCAATACAAATTAAGAATGATCAACGTCAACAACAACTGTATTACATTACATTACATTTTATGCAAATGCTTGGGTCTGCGAACTGGAATGATACTTGCCACTTTTGCGTTTAATAGAAACGCTCACTGAAATATTCACGTTATAATTAACATTTTGATAGCAGCAGGTCGATACGCCAGTAGAAGTTTTCTTTTCCTTTTTTCCAGGGAGCCACTTATGTATGTGACACGAACGTTTCTTTCTGAACTTCTAGTCTTTCCGGTTAAACGTGTTCTTATGTATCTCTGTGCATGCAATCAAAGGAACTTGCTTGGGAAATAAACATTAGCGAATTGTTTTCTTTTTTCAAATGTTACGCGAGCGCAGCAAATACCACATACGAATATTAAACCAGATTAAGCAAACGGATTCGTAACTTCACTATCTCTCGCAGTCTTGTTAATTTCTAAATTTACCTGATAGCTGGATCTTTTTCTTGATCTCTGCAATCTTTTTATTCAAATCGTTCAATTTGTTTTCTACAATGGGTGCTAACGGATCAGACATGATTGCGCACGAGAGACTTACGCTAACTAATCTTCTATTTATCGACTCAATAATACTTGGCGTTCCCTTGGTAACGACAATACGTGCAAGATCTTAATCTTTTAAAGGTATAGCCAAACGAATTGTAATATTTTATCTCGTATTCTATCATGAAACGTTTCAAGAACAGTGTCCACGATTAGCGTCACAATAACGCGCGAGCAAACGAACATGCTTATTGTTCTTGATGGCGTAACATCTTGCGCGACAATGCATCGCTCGCAGATGTTTGTGGTTCGATGATAGGGTTAATCGTTCCATTAATAAAAACGAATGACCGTCGTGTATTTTACAATTTCGTGCGTGTATCTCGCGTGCCACGGGGAACACAAAGGGGAGAGCAATTCGTAAGGCTTCGTCTGTTGAATGGGCCTAAGGAGAGGGCACCGAATTATAATTCCGCATTTGTATTCGTTAAGGCAGCAGCAGCAGCAGCAGCAGCAGCAGCAGTAACAACAGCAACAACAGCGCTTGGCGGCGGCCACGCTGGCGATGAATTTCGCGTTACACGCAATCAACCGCTGGAAGGTTAATTAATGATCAGACATGCTTGGCCAGTGCTCGACTCACTGAGTCCTCATACAGATCGCTGTCTTGGCACTTTATAACTGACCACGTTCGTTGCGTTCCGCTTGCCGTTTGAATTCTAGAGAAGCATCACGCGCCAAGCTGTTAGATTTCAATCCGGTCATGGAATCAGGGATTCCATTCACATTTATGCGACTCGAATTCGTAAAGCTGAGTTTAAAGGCGAGTTTGAAGGAAAAGAGAAAACGCAAAGAAAGTAGCGTTACGCGTGAAGATTAATTTAATGACGAGCAGCGAAGAGATGAAATTAATCACACATACCTCTCTTCTGCAAAACAAAACAATTAAAAATACATTAATTAGAAAATATAGTTGCTACTACAATAGTACGATACATCAAGTGAAATAATTTCATTTTCTTAAATACATACAACAACGTTATTTCAACGCAAAATAACTTTATAAAATTGGTTTTCGTTTTTAATGTACGTGTCAAGTGACGTTGTAATTTTAGTACAAATTTCATATTTCGTACCTCTGATTCGCAAAAAGAAAAAAAAAAATTCGAACCGAACATAAAATAATTTCTCATGTAGCCGAGTATAATAAATGCACGCTACGGCCCAATTCCGTTCTAGCCGAGTTTCTATTGGCTCGCACGGTCAGCCATCCCATGGCGGCGTAGTGATACAGCCGTTGGAGGCAGGTGCGCGCGCATTGGGGAACTACTTTCAGCGCGTTAAGCGAACAATAGGGAAACCAGAAGTGTTTCGGACGCGGTCGTGTTCGTATAGTGTTGCCGTATACTTTTTTCCCCCGTATTGCCTCGCGTGAACGTGTATACATTTTTGTTGGACGTATCGGAGGTGACATAGATTCCGGACGATGTGCGTGGTCAAGTGACGGTACGCGGATTTTACACTGAAGTGCGCCGAAGTGTTGGTTCTCTGTAGTGTGTGCGCCCGGGTCCCGATGAGTGTGTGTCTACCCGATGTGTGTGGATAAAATTCACGGCGTCATGCTGCCACGACGAAAATTGGATTACGCAGCGATGGCGTGTTTTCTCCTGCCTCTGTTTATGCTCGTCTCGTTCCCTGCGGTGTCCGGTAAGTCTAATTAACGCGCGTTACAACGCGTCGAATTCAGTTCGGAGCCAGTTTAAAGTCATTGTCCGCCACATGTCGCTGCTAGGCAACAAGTCGCGAAACAACGTTGAGCGCCGGCGCGTTGGACGCCTGCACGTTAACTGACATTTTGTACATTTTTCGAACATTCCCTTCACGAACCACGTTAGAGACCATTTGAGGTCAAAGCGTTGAAAGATTAACGAACGAGTTCGTTCGTGCAATTAGTATTCCGAAGCGATGTCGGACATTGCCGTGCTTGCTTTCAATTACTACCTGTCTCAAAAATATTGACCATGTCGGTGGTTGTAGCATTCGTGCCGCCCAACGCGTCTTTATTTCTCCAAACGATTGTTCCTTTTTTTTATATATATTAATTTCTTTTTTTGCCTTTTGCATACGTGTGAAACGTACCAGCATTACGAAAATCAGAGATATAAAAAATAATATCACTTTTAGCTACGAGATAAAATTTTTTTATTCTACTTATGAAAGTTGTATCATTCGGAGAGGAATTACTTTTCGTATTATATTTTTGACGTAAATGTTAGCTTCCTCGAATACACGTGGTTATGTTACTGTCACAGTAGTGCTCAATTTCAATATTGGAGCCGACAAGCTTGCGCCCTAAAGTTGGTAGTCCCTGAGGGACAGGTGCCCAACCCCGCTTTCCAGGAAACGAGCCTTCCTTCCCTCGTGCGCGCGTAAACATCCGAATCAACGTTTCGCGTCCCCGTTTCTTTTCATCTTTTTTCCCTCATGAATAACAGTTTAACTTTTCCCCTGTATACGAAAGATTTTGACTCAAAAATATTTGTTAGTTGTTTCATATTGCTGATTGGTTACAGCCACTAGACTGTGCACATTTATGTAAAAAATTTCGTACTTTGATAAATACACGTGAAGAAAGCCTTGGGGAAAATTTTGTCTTATTCATTTACATTTACATGATTTTTGAACATTTTACATAATTTTCCTTGAAAAGATATAGATAAGTCGTGAATTATTCATAAACAAGAGAATAAATCGTTTTTTACAAAATATGACGTTGATTTTAGATCCTAGGTTAAACGTATTTATACATATTTACTAAAGATTAAAGATTACAACTTTGAATTGACAAAAGGGGTTTAAATCGAATATTGCTTCTTGCAGGATGCGATTTTATCACTTGAAGTGAGTGATAAAATCGCATATAAAAAAAACAGTAAAGCGAGTTTACGACCGTGAATTTTCATTTTCACTTTTTTTATACGCACGAATCTGCGTAGGCTGTGACGTAACACTGTGTCTCAGGTCTCGAGTACTTAGGCGGGAAGAAAGTATGGTCGCCGCGGACCAAAGAAAGTCGGCAAAATCTAACGATACAATACAAAGAGATACAAATACAATTGTTGAACATTGTTGCGTAACAAATTCTATTTTGTTCCTCCCTTAACCTAGATACATAAAGGAAATCATTCTACCAATCGAATATTGTTTCTTTTTTCCTCTTTCACACTGCATTAACATTAATTTTACTTCGAATTTATTGTTTCCTCCGAAATGGGTAAATTTTGAAAGATATTCAGAATTGTTGGCCAATTTATCAAAGGCATTGGCGTCTATTAGGTAAAGGGAGAATAAGAAAAGATTTGATATCAGTGGATTACGTTCTGGAACGTTCTCCGATTGAGCTAGGCTGGCAGTCGCTTCCGAGAGCGAACCGAGGACCTCGCCTCGAGTCTGTTACTTTGCGTTGAGGTATTCTGAATGCGGCATGGCGGCTGTTCTCCAGACGTTCGCCGTTCTTATGTTCTCAGGCTTTCTCTTCTCTCTCTCCTTAGGAAACGATTCGCCCTGGACTTAACGTGCTTTCACACAAAACCACGCGTCGCACATGCGCTGATACAAGTATATATATGTCACGTTCATTTTCACGGAGCGGACTCGTACTCCTGATAGAGTAACATCTCTTTCCTCGTTAGAAATTTGACTCAAATAAAACACATCGTATATAATAGATCGTTGTGGAGATTGACTTTGTACAGGGAATACCGAGAACGAGATGTAATTATTTTGTTTCGAATTTGTAACGTACGAATGTTTGGAATAATTTGTCAGAGAACTGAAACACGCGACTCGAACAAATTAATTTCGCAGCTGCGCAATAATGTAACACGTGTCGTCCCGGTTGTCTAGTCTGAGATCTTCGTTTAATCTTTTCGGCCGAAACAGTCTCGGTGCCAGTATTTTGGTGCTTCTGCATCATGTTGTAGTTACTAGAGATACTCGAAACCGGGCATCGCTTAGAATCCGACGTGCGATCGACCTGTAACCGGTTCCTCGTTCCCTTTCATCGATTCAGGGGGCCACACGAGCCTTCCGTGCACACGTGCACAACACACATGAATGCAACTTGAGAAACGCGTGCACGATGATACCAAAGTCCGCCAACCGGCGGGCTGTTTTCTGCCGTTCACTCGAAGGCAGCACGCTCTCCGAGAAAGGTCACAATTTGACGATCGCCGTGTCTCCAGCCGTACAGCCTGTGTCTGATTTCACTCTCTCGAAAAAATTGCGCGTTAATTTGCTCGCGGTGATTCGGTTTTGGCGCACGGATAATTTACGCGTTTGCGATCGTTTGGTAACGATTTCGCTGGTTGATGAAAACCGGCTCTCGATTCTCGATCAGGTTTTCCACGAGCTATTAAACAGCTCCTCGATAGATGGATACCGATACTTTCCTCCTGTTCACTGATCCTGTTCCGTTTTCTTTTTGGCGAGTCGCGGCAGGATATCGAAGAACGAGAGACGCGAGAGATACCCGGTATCTCGCCGGCATCTGTTAACTAAAAGGGCAAGATCTCTGCCTGTACGCCGCTTGCGCCGACCTGGCCTATACGCCACGCGGACATTTACATTCGTCTTAACCTCTCCGTGTCGTCCCTTTTCTCCCTTGTTGTTGGCGCATAGCGTAAAACCGCATAATTAAGGACCTTGGCTACCGTACGTCTATCCGTTTCTTCCAGTTCTTCCAAGTCCTTTCCTACTGGTTTCTCCTCCTGCCAGTCGTTACGTCGTCCGTTCAGAGATCCGTGCTGCTCCTCAGTATCGTGCAGGGATCGAGGATTGTGCCGTCAGTCAACGGCAGGACAGCCACCAGCCCTTATAAAGCACGAAAGGATCTATCCTGGCAGTATGTAGATTTCTAAGAAGCTCGTCTCTCGCAGGCAGAGAGGAATTTTTCAATGGACAAGACGAACGGAAGGAAGGCGCGTCCGCGGCTTACAGCACGTCTTCGTACGTTCGTGGTCGATTAGACGCGTCTCGTTTTCTTTTCGTAGCCGTTGAATCGGTATCCAAAGAGACAGGACGAATAGCGAGGGATTTCTAGAAGAATTCATATCGTTTCAACGACTCTACAGGATGATCTTGCCGTATTCTTCGCTCGGAGGAATCTTGCGAGGAATCTAACGACGAACGAAAAATTATCCAGCGACTCGGCAACTTTCTCACAACGCGTTGAAACGCACGCACCCTCCAACGAGAGAGATACGCTTTAATTCGCTATCGTTGCCGACGATCGTTCGCGTTCTGCCGACCAGTGATAAAGGCACGCGAAACCTAAAGGCGGGGGGAAAGAAAAAAAAGGTGAGACCGGAGAGAGTGGCGACTGTTTTCGTGGTGAGAAAAGACCACCGCGAAGCAGTTTTCTTGCGGCAGACACGTGGAAACGGTTTCACGCGGGATTCACGTCGGACTCGAATTACCCTAAAGCGATTATTTCCCGCGGCACGAGCACGAACACAGAGATCCCTGTGCTCGTCCCTGTGTCGCGGACGATCCTTGTATTTCCCAAGCAAGAGGAGCAGCGAGCGAGGAGCGTCGCGAAGATACGCGAAAGGCTCGTTCTATCTTGGGTCAATGCGATCGTATCTATTAATCATTCGATTCCTTTTCTCTCTCTCTCTCTCTCTCTCTCTCTCTCTCTCCCCTTTCTCCCCTTCTCCCTCGGTGTACACACCGTGTACACAGTCACTCTTTCGCCTGATAAATGGCAATGAGCGCCACGATAATGCGAATGCTTTACACGAAGCTAATCGCCGACTGACTAATAACTTCTCTCCCGGTGAACGGTCATGGGAACTTGCCGGAATTTTCCTATTTTCCGAAATTCTCGCGTCACCTTCCGAAAGATGTTCACGTCAGATGTTCTTTGTATCGTGACACGTGGAAAATCTGTCGTGGACGAGAAAAGTTCTTAGAAATTCGATCAACGGTACCGTGGCGAGAGAGAGATTCGCAGATAAAACTGGTTAGACATGTGTTATGCAATTAACGTTGCGGAACGTTGGTTTGATTAATTTTTCACGCTCCTCGAAAGTAAGAACCTCTCCTCGTAGACACGGTTGTTGATTCGTATTACATGCTCGCGAGACGGAACAATCGGTAGACACGCTTACGGAGGCTAACGTTCCGTCAAAACGCATCGACTTTAAGTCTATCTTTCCAGCAGCGTGCGTCGGACAACTGAATTTCAGCAAACGTGCGCATCAATTCTCGGTGCGTAACATTGCCAAAAAATCTAAATTGGTCAGCGATCCGAGCAACGTTTCTCTTCTTACACACGCAAGGATTACACGCGGAAGGATTCGACGAAACGACAGAGTCACGGTACGGCGAAGATTTTCTAGAAGTTACGTCGAACCCTTGCAGACCGACGTTCGCGGTCACCGTTCCCGCCAGGTTTACGCGTTTACACGCACAACGAGGAAGAATCCGCGTGACGGCACAGAACCTTTCGCAATTTGTAAGTGAGAAACGGCGTTCTTGCCGAGTCTCAGTTGCGAACCCTGCTTGAACTTCTTCGTGGGTGCATCGAAACGTCGCACGCGCGACTCCTCTGCGCCGTGTGTGCGTGTGTGTGTGTGTCAGTGTACACGTGTTGATATTCGTTTGCGTGCGCGGCTGTCGAGGCTGGCGGACAAGTTATCAACCAC